ACATTTAGATTAGAACCAGCGTGAGGGAAATGTGCTGCATTATTGCTGTGTGTTTGAACAGATATGCAGAGGTGGCAATTAAGTCATTGGAAAACTCGTACTTACAATGGACTTGTTTCCTACAAGGGGGCTAAAAGAATTGATACTTCAGTGAATCAGTACATCAGAGCATTAGGAATATTTCTTACTGCAATGTTACCTCTTGCCACGAAATGCATAACTCAAGTTGCTTTATGGATGCTATGAAATAATGATAATCATCACTCAATTTGCTGTATTTTTATCACTTAATAAAAATGTCTTATGTCTTGTGCATAGATATTTGATTTAATGGATGCCAAAGCCCGTGCTGACTGCATCAAGGAAATAGATCTTCTTAAGGTAAAAGATTTCTTTAAAAATTGTGCAGCCATCGTTAAAGTATATTAAGTTTTTCATAGATACACTTGAGGTGTCCACTGTTGTCTTTGTAGAGTTTTTATAAGCCCCACTTACAGAATTTTGTAACCTTTACAGCTTTAAAAACTAACATTAAGTAAATTCTATAGAAAAATGGGTAACTTTTTTTGTAATCTTTACAGCTTTAAAAACTAACATTAAGAAGTAAATTCTATAGAAAAATGGGTAACTTTTCACGCAGAAGTTTCTGCTAAAACAGTATTGTAAATAGCTGTGTCCTGTGTATAGTAAAATACTGATTTTAAAAATTGACTTTGCTGTTTCAGCTAAAAATTTAGCACACTATTGCATTGAAGCAAAATTCCTCTAAAATTGCAGCTTCAGTCATCATGTTGATCCTAAAATGCCATCATGTTCTTGCAAAATGCTGATCTGTAAATGCTTCTCATAAGCATATACTTTTTGTCTCATACTGAAATAGATTTTAGGGATTGTTTTGTTTGCCTAAAAAGAATGTTTCATTTGTCAGTCTTAAAAGGTAAAGATGTGTTCTACACTAAAATATGCAATATTATTCTGCTTTCTTAGCAATTGAATCATCCAAATGTAATTAAATATTATGCCTCATTCATTGAAGACAATGAACTGAACATAGTGTTGGAATTAGCTGATGCTGGAGATCTCTCTAGAATGATAAAGGTAGGAATTAACTTTTTTTAAAAAAATTAAAAGCTTGTAACATTCAACTTCTTTTGACTTTTCATTCTGCTTGCTCATCACTGGGTGAAATGCAGTGAGAAAGTCAGGAACTGTGGAGAAAAGTGGAGTGTTTAGACTGAATTTTATAAATGTGTGCCCAATATTGTACCTATATAAGTATTTTTAACACTCTTGCCCAGAATGTTAGTGCAGAGAGGGACATAAGTAGACTGAAATTATGTTGGTGCTGGGGAGAAGAAAAAAATTCTGAAGAAAAGCACTGTCACCACCATTTGGAACAATATATTTTGGTGGCATTCTTGATTTTTGGCACAATTGTGTTTTGTGTTCGAATATTCTATTCTCCGTGATAGTAGTGAAGGCAGAGAAGGGCTGGTGTCATAAGGCAGAAGTTTCTCCTAGATCTTGAACTTCAACAGCTAACCATTTTAGCAAACAAAATAAATATAAAAATGGAAATAACTGCATCATTTGATAGGTCTAGTTAAATTCTTCTTTATCTTGAGTCTAACAAATATTCTGAAGATACATTTGGTTGAAATCACATGCAGTGAATTTACTGATAAGTGGTTGTGCATTATTGTATAATTGCTTTCTTCTGTGGCTTTTAAATGCCTGTTCTTTATCTAATCAGAAAAATTTATCCAAGACCTGTTGTGTAAACTTTTGTATTCTGAAACTTATATTAACTTTTAACTAGCTTTTCTGTCTGTCATCTGACAACTACTTCCCTTCTTTTCCTACCCTTTTACCTTTGGGTCTTGGTTTTAGTATGTCCCTTTGGTGTATCTTCTTGTGTGCACACCGTTATTGTTGTCAACAACTCTGGGAACAAATAATGCCAGCCAGTTAGCATTTGCTCAGCAGCAGCTGGGCACAAAACAGGGTTATGCTGTTTTGCTTAGGACCTACATAAATAGAGAATGTTAATTTTTTCATTAAGACTTTCATACTGATTTTTTTTTTGAGCTTTTGAAGAATATTCCCTTCTAGATTGATAATTGTAGGGTAGGACAGTCAAAATTTCATTCTAAACAGGTTGACAGCGTTCTGTTAATATTTATTTCCAAATCTGATATTTTTCTTCATCTCATGAATTATTTATTCTCTAGGCTTACATTTCATAAAACATAAAGGAAGGTTTGTCTTTTCTTTTGAATGCTGAGTTTTGACACAACAGTTATTAATATGAGTACTCTGTGACAGATTGCCTTATGGCATGTCTGGTCTTATGACCCATTGAAGCTTTTCCCTCTTTTCTTTTTTTTTTTTTTTTTCCTCCCCCTATTTTAAATCCAGTGTGTGAATAATGGCTGCTTCAGTGCAGTTGGCCTCATTACACCTTGTCCAAGGCGGTGGGTATTTCTTGCAGGCTCGATCTTGGAGGCACATTGTGATTGTGCTTTTAACACAGGGATCATGTTTAATGTAGCAAACTTAGATTGCTGTTTGATGTTAATGACAGCCTATCAGGCTATTATTAAATATGTATGAGGTGTCACAATGCACTCCATCTTCATGCTGCTGCTGGAGGAAATGATTTGGTAGACTACTTGGATGGTATGAGTTTCAATGTGAGGTGCATCAGTTATATAGCATCTTCTTAAAGAAGTATTTTTAAAATTGCCTGAAAAATAAATGATATGTAATGGTGTGGAAACTTCCTAGCAGAATGGCTGCCTGTCATGCTACTGAGGTAAATAACTATGTTGTGTTACTAAAACAAACAAACCATGCTTTGGTTTCCAGTGTTCTTGCCAGAATGCCGTTCTAGGTTTGTTGGAAAATGCTGAGGCACCCCCAGAAGAGTGTTTGGGTACTGGATTCGTGTGATTTGTAGAAAGGATCAAGCATATTTTTGAAATTGTAAATGACCACAGCTTGAATGACACTAAAACCTATGTTAATGTGAGGGGAAAACTGCCTAACTAGTTTACTTGGGTATTAGGACATTCTTGGCTCATCAGAGAATCCTTGCAGTGCTGCTGTGCCTCACAGTGCACCTTAATGAATTCTTTAGTTCTTCCCTTAATGAACCCCATCCTTGCTGCCCAGCTTTTATACCATCCCTCTTGTTACCTGTGAATAATACCCTCTTTGTCCCCATTGACTAGACAACTGAGGAAAATCACTTGGTGCATTGATATGGATTCTAATAGAATTCCTAGAATCTGCTGTTAAAAAAAAAAAAAGGGAAAAACCCACACAGTTGTGCATTGGCATTTACAAATCGTATAATGAAATCAGAGGTATCTCGTGTTTTGTCTGTCTCTGTGTGTTTATGTATGTACATACACCATTTAAACCACTTTACCTTATGTTTTTTTAATTCCCTCTGTCAGAGAGATGCTTCAGTACAGCCTCCATTCTCAAAAGTAGGAGAATCCAAAATTGAGGATTTCTTATCTTACAGCTCTTAATGGCCTGGTAGAATTCTTGGATGTGGCGTGTCAGTAATACTGAGTTATTGATAAAACATTATCAGTAAGGGGAAATACTTGCATTTGACTTATAGTTGGTTTTGCACTAGAATATGTACCTCGGTGCTGTGTAAACCCTGTGTAGGGATGGTGAAAGAAGGAAAAATTCTTGATTTTATGTATCTGTGAATTAGGCTGCTGGATACTATTACATCAAGGATTTTTACATGTGAATAATTAGTAACTATTGCGCTAGTTGCCGGTTGCTCATGGTCTGTCATTTGTAGGTGTCTGTGGTCTCTGCTGTGGAACATGGTGATAGTACATGTCTGCCAAGGTTAAGGGTAGCTCATGAGAACTCCTGGTGTTACCTTGTGATGCCACCACCTTTTGCAGTACAAAAATATGTTGTAAAGCAGGTTTGAGGCTTGATCCTTTTTCCTGTCAGTCATGGTTCACCACCACAGATAGTGACAGGGCAAAAATTGCTCTGTGGACTTCTTTGGTTTGGGATTTTTTTGTTTTAAGCAACAGTTGATACCTTGGATAAAGAAAATGCCATAAATAAAAACCTACTAATTGCATTAATCAGGAAAATACATTATAATGATTCAGTCAAAAGAACTAGTTAGTAAAGTCTGTGCTGAAGATGTTGAAATGAGAATTTGAACTGTCCTGCAGAATAATTAGCATATTAAAGATTAAATATTAAGTTATTGGAAAGGCTTGTAAGAAGGGATATTATGAAGACACTAAAATGTTGTGTTAGGTTGTTTTTTTAAAAAAGCAGCAATAAACTTCTGTATCTATTTCATTCCTGCAGATATTTTTAGTTTTTCTCGCAAACTATCTTAGCACACAAAAGAATTCCAAACTTTAAACTGAATGTGTCATACAGATCTTAAAGAAGTTAATCATGTTTTGGGAACAAGCATGAAAGCTTGCATCTAAAAAGTTGAAAATATGTTTACAGCTTTTTCAAAATAGATGGAAAATAGTTTGAATTCTACAAAATGTCACCTAGGCACTTCACCCACTCTTCAGTGAACAATTTTTGTGTGTATTTTATTTCAAATTTAATTTAAAAAAACCCCCAACATACTATAATTAGCTAGGTAAACTAAGACAAATACTTCAAAACTTCTCATTGGTCTGAAGTTCATATAAATATCTCAGGTTTCTGTATTTGGGAACAGTGAATTCTTTGTCCTTAAACACTTGTTTTTTATAGGACAGTCTAAATACAGTGATAGTCACTTCTTTGCAAGCAACTGGTGCATATCTAAATTGCTTGTTGCAGTAGCTGGAGCTCTGTTTTGACTTGTTTAAAATCTCACTGATTATCATTCTGATGTTTCACCAGTGGTGGATATTTTGGGCTTCACTGTGTGAAGTTGCACCAGACAATTTCTCCTCTCCACACGGTCTGGGATGCAGGCCCTCCTTCCTCTCCCCATGCCAAAATATATTAGCAGTGAGGATTTTTGGAACTTATTTGCAGTACTCTGGGGTTGACTAACTTGCCTGTGCTGCATTACGGAACAGCTTGCCTTTTTTTAAGGGCTTAAAGAGTGGAAAGCAATTTTAGCTTCAGTCATTGGCAGCTTTGCCGGCCCAGAGTGCTGCTCCTGCCCGTGTGAAGCAACCATGACTCCGTCACAGAATCCATGTGTCTACAGCCAGAGGTGGCTACGGGGCGAGATGACAGCCTTTGCGGATTTATAGAGATGTTGTGATGGCCGTGGATTTGCAAGGAACATAGGGGCACGGGGTAGTGATTACATTGATCTTGGGTGTTCCGTGGTGTCTGTGAGGCCGGGCAGCACTGAATGCAGGGTTACTCGCATCGTTCTGAACTTGGGTGGTGATCAGGTACAGGTCAGAAACTTGTGCATGAGTTGCTTTTGTGGACTCAGCAGTGCATCTCGCCCAGCTGTTCTTGCAGCATGGCAGAGAGGTGAGTGCGTGTGTACTGCTACAGAAGCTAATTATTTCTTCTGTCTGCAAACTAGCTGCCCTCGATTGCCGGATGGCTAGTAGCCCATGATTAACCGTTCTCACTGCAGTGAGGCTGCTTATGTTGCTGAGAATGGAAGCTTGTTACTTGTTTTTTCAAACTATCTTTTGGAGGATTGCTGTCCTGGGGATGCGCTAGAAATAGAGATGTCTTTTCAGGCAGTGGCGTTAGCTGATGAATGTTGATAGCACACATTGGCCATAGTTTGAGTTTGTTTAATTGCAAGAGTGATAATTTTCTTTTGCTGTGATAATGGGAAGATTTTTGTGAGTATGAAGTCAGGGAAGCATCTGTATAAGGAAGAGGTGCAGTGTCAGAATTTAGCAGGTCAGGTGTTTACCCCTTCCTGGGGCATGACCCAGCGTTTTGGGAAACCCTCAGGTATTAACTGGCTATATTGTTTGGCAATCTCTTTATCATACAAAACATTGATTTACAACTGTAGCAGTTGTAGGAGATAATTGGCATTCATGTTTGCAAGGCTGGTGGCACGATGACGATGTCTCCAATGTAGCTTGAATGGCAGTGTTCAGAAACTGTAT